GGAGACTCTGTATGTAGATAACTTCAAAAGAAGGTTTTGAAAGTAAAATTCACTGTAATTTGATGTCACCGTCTCCTCTGAATTGAATTGAGTTGTTGGATGTTTAGACAAGTTTCTAAAATTACCTTGGGAAAACGTAGTTTTTTTCCCTCTAAATATTTTTTGACTGCAAATCGGATGAAGGCCAGGATTTTTAGTCATATAATAGCTCCATCAGTTATGTGACCATTTACATTAAAATGTTAGTGGTTTAAAAAAATTAAATCTTGTTGAAAGTATTACACATGGCCCCTTTCCCCCCCATTGGCCCCTTCTAGCCCGCTCCGTCCCCAGCCCCAGGCCTTCACCACCCTGTTGTCTGTGTCCATGGGTTATACACATACACACACAAGGTCTTCGGTTGATCTCTTCCCACCCACCCACCTACCTCCTCCTTCCCTCTGAGATTCCACAGTCTATTCTATGCTTCTGTTTTGTGTCCTAACATGTGGTCTGTCTTTGAGAATGATCCATGTGCACTTGAGAAGAATGTCTGTTCTGCAGTTTTGGGATGAACTGTCCTATAAATTTCAATTAAATCTGATCTAGTGTATCCTTTAGCGTCACTGTCTCCTGGTTAATTTTTTGTCTGGAAGATCTATCCAGTGAAGTCAGTGTGGTGTTAAAGTCCCCTGCTATGATTGCATTGCTGTCAGTCTCTCCCTTAAAGTCCTCTAGAAGTTTTAAAATATAACTAGGTGCTCTTATATTAGGTGCATATATGTTTATCAGGGTCATATCCTCCTCTTGGATCAGTGCCTTTATTAGTACTGAGTATTGACCTATGAACCAGGAGGCCACAGTTTGATTCCCGGTCAGGGCACATGCCCGGGTTGCAGGCTCCATCCCCAGTAGGGGGCGTGCAGGAGGCAGCCGAGCCATGATTCTCTCTTGTTGTTGATGTTGCTGTCTCTCCCTCTTCCTTCCTCTCTGAAATCATAATGAAAATATATTAAAAACAACAACAACAAAACAGCTAGGTTGGCTCTAGGACACGTCTGGAAAATTCCTCTCCTTTTTGTTAGGAAGTTCACTGTGAAGCTGCTCGCTGGGAAGTGTCCACTCTTCCATTTCTTTTCAGTGATTGTTGCTTTTTCTCCTCCTCTTTCCAGTGGAGGAAATTGAGCAGATGAACAGTCTGTTCCAGCAGAAGCAGAGGGAGCTGGTCCTGGCCATGTCCAAAGTTGAGGAGCTGACGAGGCAGCTCGAGATGCTCAAGAACGGCAGGATTGACGGCCACCACGACAACCAGTCCGCCGTGGCCGAGCTCGACCGGCTGTACAAGGAGCTGCAGGTACCCTGGGCCGCTGTGACGCACAGCAGCCGCCTCCCCTGCCACACATGGTCCTTCTGCGTGGCAGAAAGTTCTGGATTTCCTCGTCTTTTCCTCCCAGTGGTTCTCAACCTTCCCAATGCCGCAACCCTTTAATACAGTTCCCCACGTTGTGGTGACCCCAACCATAACATTATTTTCGTTGCTACTTCATCACTGTAATTTTGCTACTGTTATGAATCGTCATGTAAATATCTGATACGCAGGATGTATTTTCAGGGGTCGCGACCCACAGGTTGAGAACCGCTGCTTTAAGGAGCTGCAGGGAGGAAGACTTAAGCCCTGACGCATCTAGAATAAATTGTCCAGTTCCTTGCACTGGCCATCGGAGGCAGTCCTCCGAGCCACAGCCCGTGGTCTCCACTGGACTAGAAACCTCGAGATGAGAAAGGGGTGGGGGCGGGCAGTGGGCAGGAGACCTTATACTTTTAGAAATTATGTAACAGTGGCCCCTGGGACTCCGTGTGAGAACTTTTTCTTCCTCCCCTTTGACTACCTTTTTTTGTTGTCCCCCGTTTTATTCAGTTAAGAAACAAACTGAACCAGGAGCAGAATGCCAAGCTGCAACAGCAGAGGGAGTGTTTGAATAAGCGCAATTCAGAGGTGGCGGTGATGGACAGGCGTGTGAATGAGCTGCGGGACCGGCTGTGGAAGAAGAAGGCGGCGCTGCAGCAGAAGGAGAACCTCCCCGTGAGTGGGCTGTGGGCGGGAGGCCAGCCCGGGCGGCCAGTTCTCGGCAGCGGCTCCGTGGTCAGTGCTGGCTGTGCCCTCCGCGGAGAGGCGGTGCCCAGAGCTGCTCAGACGTGACCCATCTTCTTGTGCCTGTTGCTGTTCCGACCTGCGTGGCTCTGGTTTTCTCCCTAATACTTGTAATAAGGGGGGAGGTGGGGGAAGCTCACTGAGCAGTGCTTTTGTTTGGGAGTTTCTAGTAGGCTCTGACTAGATCTGATTGTCAAACATGATGAACCCCAGCCTTTTCTGGATGCCATCTGCCTTGTGATCCTGAAGGACCTGTGCTTCCTCCGAAGGTTTCACCTGATGGGAACCTGCCTCCGCCAGGCGTGTCGGCGCCGAGTCGTGTGGCTGCCGTCGGTCCCTACATCCAGTCGTCCACCATGCCCCGGATGCCCTCCCGGCCGGAACTGCTGGTGAAGCCGGCGCTGCCCGATGGACCCTTGGCCGTGCAGCCTGCGGAGGGGCCCATGAAAGTCCACACCCTGCCCAACATGCGATCCGGGGCCGCCGCGCAGACTAAAGGTAAAGCCCGTCCCGCATGTCCTGCCACAGCGCCTCTTCCCGTCCTCGCTGCTGCGTTTCCCAAGCGGGAGTTTTACAACAACGTCTGCCTGTCCCTGCTCGTGTTCAGATTCTAAGGATCCCTTGTATTCATTGCTGGGCGATACGGTTCTTAGCCCTGAGTGACACAGTTCTGGCTAGGAAGGGAAGCAGAATGTACTGTCTTTGCAAATCCGAAAACTGTATTGAATTCCTCCTTGTGAACAAGGAAACTGATCGGATGTTAGTAACTGGGAACCAGCTGTCAGTGTGAAAACACCATCGAGGGGTTGGTGGTCTTGACTTTGCAGAGTGCGAGGTGGTGAGTCCCCCGTTGGTAAGTCAGGTTTATCTCAGACGTGCGTGTGCTTGAGCACCTGCCTGCCGATGGTGCGAGGATCAGGGTCAGCCTGTTGGGAGGGAAGGTGTGAGTAACAGGCTCCTGGGTTAGTGAGCTTTGCATCCCAGGTGGTCCTCAGGTGCACGGGAGGGGCTAGCGGAGGTCTGTAATGGGAGGGAGATGAAGGGAGAACCGTGGAAAAGGAGGGTAAACACGGGAGAAAAAATAACAGTATTGTCTCATCCCCCTGCCACTGTCATGTGCATGCATTTGCTCACTTAGTTAGTATTTTGCCGTAATGGCCGCTGTGAAGCAGTGTGGCACCTCGTGAGTTTTTGTAGAGGTGCTTTTGTGTTGTTTCTGTAAGGAAAAAGAAAAGCTTTGAAACTTCAGTCCTGGTGTAGGAAAATCCTGAATACGCTGATTTGGGCAAGACTAGTCCAAGTTATGGCTTATTTTTATTTTTTTGCCTATTACAGTGCATACTTTTGGTGTTGTTAGGGAGCCCTCAGCCTGCTAAATAGAAATCGTTTTCTGGGAGTGATGGTGACATTTTCTTACCCAGCGGAGAACCATGTGTCGTTGGCAGGCTTTCCACTTGCCACGATTAGTTTTAAATTGTTTGAGGGAGGGAGACCATTTTAAATTCGAAATGTGCACCCTAACATTTTCTAAATAAGTTTGCTGGGATGGTTGACTCTGAAATTTAAAGCTGTTTTTTAGAGATTCCACTTCTTAGCAAAGGAATCATTAAAACCTCTTTAGAACCCAGGTTATTTGTGGCTGCTTTTCTGTGTTCTAGGCTCCAAAGTCCATTCACTCGGCCCCGACTGGAGTCCCCACGCAGACCTCTTCCCCAGCCAGGCCTCTGCCCCGAAAGGCGCCGGGAGTGCGCCCGACCCAGGTGAGGCTCGGCCCTGTTACCAGCTTTCTGCTTGGGCTTCTCAAGGTACCGGAGTTCTTTTCAGGTGGTCGTATCTAGAGTTAAAGCCAGGGACGGGGTTTACTTGCAGATCACCCTCACTTAGCCAGGGAACGAAGGCAGTGCCGGCATTGTCGTGTCTGGGTTATTTCTCAATCACCTTTATTTACAATTAGGGAATGCAGGGTTCCCAAGAGGTGGAGGAGGGGAACCGACACGTGAGTAAGAAGTTCGTACAAACAGTTTGAATATCAGTGTGATTTCCTTTTTCCTGTTTTCTTCAGCTGATGATGGAGAGGCTCCGCCGAGGGAGAAGGAGAAGAAAGTGCGTCCCTTCTCGATGTTCGACACGGTCGACCAGGCGGCCGCGCCCCCTGCCTTCGGGTCCCTGCGGAAGAACCAGAGCAGCGAGGACATCCTGCGGGATGCGCAGGTACGGGCGTGGGCACGTCCAGGGTCGAGCCCGCTGGTGTTAGAGGGGTACGGGGCGTGGGCACGTCCGGGGGTAGAGCCCGCTGGTGTTAGAGGGGTACAGGGTGTGGGCACGTCCAGGTGTCCAGGGTCGAGCCCGCTGGTGTTAGAGCGGGTACGGGGCGTGGGCACGTCCAGGGGTAGAGCCCGCTGGTGTTAGAGGGGTACAGGGTGTGGGCACGTCTGGGGGTAGAGCCCGCTGGTGTTAGAG